TGGCTTGGACTTGGCTTTCAGTGGTTGCTTCAGGCCCAGCGGCGACGGCGTGGCCGGAGTGCGCAGCTTACTGGGCGACGGGACTGGGAGGGGAAGGGGGGGGGGATGAAGGGGGGGAGATGTCACGTTAGTTTCAACTCTTAGAAACACGACACAAACAAACACTAAACATCCATCGGACACGGAAACATGTTCTCAACCACATCACAGACGACGTCATACGGGGCGACGCACACATCCTGCACTTAAACACGACAGCAGGCAATATATACATATAGATATATCTATATTTACATATATATTTATTTACATATATATATATATTTAATTACATATATAGATATATCTATATTTATTTATTTACATTTATATATCTATATTTATTTATCTACATTTATTTAATTACATATATAGATATATCTATATTTATTTATTTACATGGATATATCTATATTTATTTATCTACATTTATTTAATTACATATATAGATATATCTATATTTATTTATTTACATAGATATATCTATATTTATTTATCTACATTTATTTAATTACATATATAGATATATCTATATTTATTTATTTACATAGATATATCTATATTTATTTATCTACATTTATTTAATTACATATATAGATATATCTATATTTATACGTCATATATTCACAATCACAATACTCGGGATAAAAGGAGGAAACCGCCAGTGAATACTCACTGAAATCACCTTCTTCTCCAAAGCAACAGGAGAGTGGGACTAGACGAAGACAACAGAGAGAGGCCTTAATTCAGAGGGCGGGGGCTCTCTGACCCCCCTGCTGTCCCGAGGCCATTACAAGCAATAAAAACAACACTGGGAGCAATGAGAGCCGCAATTATCAATTAAGGTGATGGTTGATTTGAAAATGAAAGAAATTCAAAAGTGTTTCTTAAATTTGAATAAAAGGGAAAAATCATCATGTTGGACTTTAGCATGAGATGCATATGAACTACTAGTTATGGACTAAATGAACAGGCTTTGTGATTCCAGCTGGATGAAAGGCCTTTCTGAGGCATCGCTTTCGACCTTTGACCTTTGACCGTCAAAACAGTTGCTCGTGTCCACGTCCGAGCTCCCTCAGAAAACTGATCAATTGACACAAATAATGACGAAATAACTGCAGGAAGTTTGTGTCAAATGAGCCTGATGACTTTTGAGCTGATTAGTTTTCCATTAATTGTCTTTAACGTTGAAAACAGTTCTCTGTATTTACCATCTTTATCTTTTATGTTATTTTCATTCTTCCAGATAAAACTTCTAACTTTAAAAAACGCTTTTAAAGTTATTCTTAGTTTTCTTCACAGAAATTGATCAAATTCTGAGACGGAGACTAACAGTATATTCTAAACGGCGGAGAAGGAACTCCCCCCGTGGGGCGACGGTGACCCCCCCCCCCCTCAGGTTGGGAACCCTTGATCTCCACCCTCTCTGTGCACCGTCAGGGTGCAGTAAGTCGTGCATGTGACCTGGCAGCCTCCAGCTGGTTGAGGGCGGGCCGTTATCTCGCAGGGCGGTCGGCCTCTGAAGGAGCTGTTTGGGTGTCGGGGAGGAGCGAGAGGGGGTCGAGTGTCCCGGGGGCTGAGCTGCTGCTGCTGCGGACACAGGGACATTTCATCACTGGGGGGGCAGACTTCCTCCCCACCGGAGACCAACAGCGTTACTGGAGGAGGCAGGAAGGGCTGCAGCCCGCAGGTGCAGCATGAGGCCACTAGGGGGCTCCCATGCTGCAGCCCGCAGGTGCAGCATGGGGCCACTAGGGGCCTCCCATGCTGCCACTAGGGGCCTCCCATGCTGCAGCCCGCAGGTGCAGCATGAGGCCACTAGGGGGCCACTAGGGGGCTCCCATGCTGCAGCCCGCAGGTGCAGCATGGGGCCACTAGGGGGCTCCAGAGCAGCAGCAGAGCGCCGGCTCTCCGCGGAAAAGAAGGCAGAGGTTTGAGGTTCCAGCCAAAGAGTCAGAAACAGGACGTTAGAAGCGTGCAAGAGATGAAAAGAGTGTTTGCAGATTCAGCAGTGAAGATCCGGCCGCATGGAGACGAGTTAAAGACACGCTGGGTCTCAGCAGCTGAAACCCGACCTCTGACCTCTGCGTATCCGTAACTTGTAGATGGATTTCGTTCCCAGATTAAGCACCATTAACTTTACCCCCCCCCCCCCCCTACCGGAGCTCTCATAAAACATCGAACCCTTTGATCTAAACGGCGTCCGTGGGGCTGCGTCACGGTCCGGCGCTACCAGGCGGAGCGAGCGAGCGGAGGGAAGGATCAAAAAACCGAAAGCGATCAAAGACAACGAGGCTTCTCAAAAAGGCCCGAAGCGCCGGGCCGTCCTTCTGCAGGTGCAGCCAGAAGGACGGCCGAACGCAGGAAGTCAGCTGACCCCGCGGTGACATCACCGAGGGGCCGGTAGCCCCTGCGATGGAAAAACCCACGACCTCGGCTGCCGGTCTGAACACTCACTGGCGGACTGGCTCTGGTGTCCAGGGGAGGAGCCTCCGTTCTGCACCTGCAGGTTGGACTCGCAGCTGGCGCTGTTCTTCACGGGTTCTGAGTTCTGGGCCGCCGCCGCCGCCACCGAGGCTCGCGTGAGGTTGGGAAGACTGCGACGCAGTTTTTCTGCAACAACAACAACAACAACAACAGCGATTTAGCGGGATGACCAGAAGTCCCGCGCAGTGGGGGGGGGGCGTATCTCGCTCACCTTCGTTCTTCACGGCGTTGGCCTGGTGCTCGTGGGCGTGGCCCTGCAGCGAGTGGCGGGGCTGCTGCAGGCGGCTGATGACGGGCTGAGGCGAGCCGCGGCCGTGGCCGTATTCGATGGAGCGGGCGGGGGAGCGGGAGCGCGGCGAGTTCCTCGGGGAGGCGCGGGGGGAGTGGCGGGGGGAGGGGCTGAAGCGACTGGAGGGCAGGTGGAAGGCCGGGTGCACCGCCTCCTCCTCGTCCTCCAGGCTGTGCGCGTCCAGCTCCTGGTCGCTGAAGGTGCTGCGTCGCAGGGAGTGACAGGACGAGCCGGAGCTCCGGCGGGACGCTGTGGCCGCGTAGTCCTGTCTCAGACCTGAGGGACACGGACACGGTGACACCGGAGACAAGACGGCTGCTACAGAGGAAGCCCCGCCCCCCCAGAACCTGGTTCTAAATTAGTAAAACCCGGAGTATTGATGCAGTTCAGAGCTGAACATGAGAAGAAGGAGAGGAAACCTCGGCGATGATCACATGATCAGAGGAGATAGTAAATAAAGTACGTACTCTCCTCCTGCATGCGCGCCAGGATCTGCACATCAGTGACGTCGTTGAGCTTGTAGGTGTTGGACGAGCCCACCGAGTCCTCGTCCATCTCAGAGGTGCTCAGCTCGCTGTCCACCGACGACTGCGGGCTCACCGCCGGCGGGTTCCTCTCCGCCGCCGTGTTCCGCTGATGAGCTGGGGGGGGGAGGGGGGACTCCATTAGCGACACGTCGTTGTGTAGTTGAGTTGGTGGTGAACTACGGAGAGACAAAGACAGACGTACCTGCGTTGCTGCCCATCAGCTGCTGCCTGACGACGGGCCCCCTGCTGGGGGTGGAGGAGGGGGAGTTGAAGCCGCTGCTGAAGGGGCTGTTGGCTGCGTTGGTGCCGTAGGGGCTTCCGTAGCTCTGCTGGGCGTAGCTCTGCTGGGCGTAGCTCTGCTGGGCGTAGGGGCTTCCATACAGACTCCTGCGCTTGTTGGCTGCAGGGTCACAAACCAGAAGCATCCATTCACAATTTGTCAGTTCGCAGTTCAGATCCTGTTTCCGTGTTTTTACAGAGGTTCAATGAGTAAAACAACGTGGAGCCTCAAAGAATGTTTTCTATATTCATTAATAAATATATATGAAATTTGGTTTGACTTAAATTGTAGTAAAATACATTATCAAAGAATCTTTGAACGACTCTGATCAGAATGAGACGGACCAGGAAAAGAACTCGACATCATCAGCGTTCTTTCTCCCCGGGGGGGAGGAGCCACACCTCCCTACCGGCCGTCGTCACGGCGACGCCCGCAGGAAGCTGCCTACGAGCTCAGGTGAGTGGCTCAAACACAGTGAGTTCCCTCTACGTCTCCATGACGATGGCAGTGAAAAACAAAAAGACGTAAGACCGTCTGTAACCGGACTGATTGACACACTCCGTCCGCACACTGTCCCCCCTTTGAGGACTCGATGAGGCCTGATGTCTCGTCCCCGGCTGCATGAAAGCCCCCCAGTGTGCTCGGGCCTGGTGGAGTCCTTTTGCCCGTATGCCGAGCGGGGGCTTCATGGACCCTTCCTACATCATCACTGAACAATACGAGCATTCAACGGCGCCGCACAAGCAGCCTCAGTCATGGGACGTGTCTCTGGTTGGACGTGTCCACACAGCTGGGTGGTGAATGGAGGCCGAGCTGCCTCCTCTTCCTCCTCTTGTGCTCTCTGTCCTGCTGCATTATTTATGTCCACTCTGCTGAGGAACGTCGGAGCACTTTGAAACGCCTCCACAGCCGATGTGAAGACGGATTCTTGCAGACAATCATCTCTGTGGCAAACAGACGTTTGGGACTTTTCCATCTTGCTTTTATGCGTTTTTATCATCTGCACTTTGATGACGTCCCCCACGGTCACATGACCTCTCGCCTCCTCCTCGAAGCTAAAAGGAGGACATTTAGTCGTCTCAGCAGAGGGGCGTTCAATGACCTGTTTTAAATCAGAGGACTAAATATCTCATTTCAGAAAACACTGGAGGCGCCAGGAAGTGAAAGTATGCCGACTCATTTCCTGCTTTCAGGACGGAGGTCGTTAGATGACGGCGGGCAGCATCACAGGTCAACGTGTCCACAGGTCTTTCTTATCAACGGTCCAGGCGTTGGACACGTTGACGCGTCTGCACTGTTCTCGTATTGAATCGGCTCCTGTGGGTCGAGTTCCCTCCTGAGGGACCATCTCCGGATCTGCAACCTTCTGGCAGCAGCATGAACTTCAGCGGGGAGACCAGCGGTGCAGAAACAGGCCTCTTTTTATCAATCACTGATTATTGGATGGCAGTGGTATCAATTCACATGGTTAATGTGAAGTGTGATGGTTTATTTAAAAAAAGAACAAAAGTGCATGGCAACAAGGAAAATGATTAAATAATGCTCTCCTGCGTGTGCTGCAACCCTGAATACAAACCAGGAGGAATCTCTACCGTCTCTAGAAAGAGGCGCAGATCCTTCTGAAGGGGCCGAAAATAGAGCGTCCTCACATCCTCAGGCAAGAAGGCAGCAGGAGAGAGAAGAGAAGGCTGGAAATCCACAGCGACATCAAACGCACCACGAGGATTTTCCGCTGCTCTTCAACGGTGGAAAGTTCTCAGTAGTTTCCACCGGCCCAAAATAAATGAATACAAAACGTACAAAAGGAGCCAGCAGAGAACCGCCTGACATTAAATGAAGGAAAAGGAAAAGCGCCTCAGAGCTCCGAGGAATCCACAAGAGAAAGAACACGGAGGCCTTTATCGACGAGAGGGAGAAGAACAACGAGCACAGTGCAAAGTGAACGACAGGTCACAGCTCGAGTAATGCAGCTCTGTGACTGAACAGGAACCCGCCCGGACCCCCGGACCCCCGGACCAACAGCTGTCAGAGCAGCGGGATGAACAAAAGAAATAAAACCTCCTATCGGAGCGGTAACAACGTCTCTCTGACTCAAAGGTGCTGCAAAAACCTTTTGTTTGCTGGTGATGTGTCTTCTGAGTGTGTCCAGCGGGTCGTTGTCTCACAATCACGAGGACGTTGTCCTCCTCACATACGATCAATGATGACATCGCCACAAATAAGCACCCAACCGCAACCCAGCGAAGAGCTTATCTGCGTATCACACGGCGTCCTCAAACTGGCCTCACAGTGAACACGTCAGTAGGTAAATAATAAACCTAAGCCTTCTTTAATATAGTAAGACAATCAAATAAATGTGCAGGTTAATATGAAAATAAATGTATTTCTTTCTACATACATTGTTTAATTAATATTCAAATATATTATATTGATCTATTTTTAATTAACTTTCATTTTTGTATTGATTTATGTATATATATAAATCACCTATATTGCTCATAATAAAGTCAAAGAGACATTTTAATTACTTGCTTTTAAAAGCTTTGTCGGTTCATTAAAAGAGTTCAAACAAGTTTCATCTGGATGTGTAAAAGTGTTTGTTTGTTTGTTACTCAGAGTTCTGGTTGTTTTCCAGATCAAATGGCTGACGGTCACGTGGACCCCCCCCCCCTCAGTGTAGCTGCGAGCATTTGAGGCCCCCCGACTATAATTAGAGTCTGTCGGAGAAACGAGGAAGGCACAGATTCAGACACACTGAGGGTCCAGCTGTCACCAGCACGAGACACTGCAGAGACAATACAACCTTTCAAGTGACACGACAACAGACACACTGCTGGGGATCAACAGCTGATGGAGCAGCTCCTCACAGACGCACGGTGTCGCTTTAGTATTTGTGGTACCAGCGTCAGTGTGCGACCTTGATTGTTAGCGTGAATAGAAATAAAAACCGTACGACGTTAAATATTCGACCGCGTGTGAAGTAACAATCGTTCTTCACCCAGTGCCAAAGGAGGAAGAGGAGGATGAGTTGAGTCCGTAGCTTTGGAGGTCTCACCATCACTTTACGAAGAGACTCACAAAACACACACACGCACATTCTGCTGTCAGATACTACATATAACCTCAACCGGCATTTAATCCCACAATCAGGTGATCAAACTGCTGATTTACACAGATGTTGTTCGATGTTGTTCATCTTATCGGCGTTTACAGAACGAAACCTGCGTCCGTGCTGTTGGTTTGAAGAAATAAATGTGTGCGAGCTGTAGTCATTCAGCTTGTGTTACAAAAATCCATCAAAGCAAACCGTAAATGAACAAAAGGATTTTAAGCAACAAGGAGAATCATCACAACATTCACATGACTTCACTTTGTGCTCATCGGCATGAAGAACTACATTTACTGCTTCTATTGTCGTCATGGTGACCTAGAAACTGCTTTGAGGATTCAGATTCAAGAGCTCCACAGACTCATTTTTACGGCTCGACGTGCAAACGGACAGCGGTCAGAATGATGGAGATCACAAAAAACAGGATCTATTGTGAACATATCGACCGTTGACATTAATCTGCAACAGTTTTGTGCCAAATGAGAGCGAACGTTTCTATAGAAGTCTCTTCGTTTCTGAAGCTTCGTACTCGCGATGAAACTCCCAAACAGCCGATAGAAGCACCTCCGACATACGGAAGGATGCGAGAAAGATCAACAGCGTGTCGGCTTTAAAAAGTCAAGTGATTTCAACCTTTGTTTCTGTAGAATTAATTTAGCGTCCTTCTTTACAGAGCTTCTGTAAGACAATAAACTGGTTCATGATTAAGAAACATACTGGTTTAAGTTATTACAATTCAATTACCACAGCAAAGGAATTAAACTATCGATAGAAACCGTCATGAGCACACTGAATCACACACACGCACACACACACACACACACCTGACATGGTGAGGTCCAGTCTGTGGATGAGCGAGCGCTTGGCGGACTCCATCTCTGGACTTGGGTTGTCGAGAGCTTGGCGGCACCACACGATGGGACTCTGGGCTTTCTGCATGGGACTGTCCAGCTTCGCCTCATATAGCCTGCAGGACACACACACACACACACACACCCACAGTCAACACGTTATAATGCATACACATAAACGCACCATCACGTAAACATAAACCGTCTGACAGGTCGAGAGGAGCCCAGCTCATCCAAACGCCGCAGACAGGCCCCCTTCAGGGCCCATTGGTGGCGTTTCTGGTGCTTATTTCTTTTGGACTTTTCAGTGCAGCCATCATCAGATACGGTGCTTACAGTCAGCTCCTGCGGCAGCAGGCGTTGAGAGTGAGCCAGCATCACTTTGGGGGGGCAATGAGTTAAGTGCATAGTTGGCTGTATTGATCGAGGACATCAACCCCGCTTGATACTGATGGACGCGCATAAAAGGGTTTAAAAATAAGGCGGCGATCCGGTTCTTCCTGTCCGCCGGCCACACAAATAGTCTGTGTTTATCCTCCACCACCGAGGAGCGCCGACGGGGGAGGAGGAGAAATCTGAGCTTTGGCGATGAGACAGGGGACATTGAGGGGGGAGGAGGCTCTTGACGGCCAAGAGCAGGCGGCGCTTTCAAAGCCAATCCGATGCTTATTCCGGGGATTACAGGAGTCTATGACAGGCGCTGGAGAGTCGGGCTGCGGGCGGCTAATCCCAGATATCAATCCGATCCGAACAAAAAAGAGGGCAGCAGAAGGAGCCGTGGGCCTGACGAGGTCGGGGCACGAGCGAGCGGTGTACCGACGTGGTCCAATGATGGGGACCAAGTGGGGTACAAGTCTTTTACTTTAGGGAAACATGCCGACTGATGAGCACGTCATCTTTCTGAGTGTTGGCTCTTCTTCGTCGATATATTCTCATTATTTTAGACACAAATCAACACACCTACAGCTCGGACTCAGGCGCTGTGTGCTGCCTCCCGGAGCTCCGTCACTGCAGTCAGCTGGATTTCACCCAAATGAGACCCACCTTTGGAATAGCTTCAGTAAGCGTCCTTATGCTACGCCCTTTTGTTGCTTATAATAATAGAAGAAGTCAATCAAACACACCCGTCCCCACGAGACGGACCTCAAGGATCGTCTCCTAAGGACGGCCTGTCATTACAGTGATGTCCAGCCAGTAGATGATGCCTTAAAAACAGAAACTGCATTTCTACCTCAAAGGCTCTCCTGGGAAAACCAGGCAGAAGACTCGTTCTGAACGCTTCACATCTCGAAGCAGCATTCTGTGTAGTGACCAGCAGGGGGCGACTCCTCTGCTCCCATAGACGTCTATGAGAAAATTACTTCTTGATTTATTCCCTCAGTAAACTTTGTAAACATGACTTTATGGTCTCAATCTGTAGTTCAAAGACTTCTTCAACACACACACATAAAGTCTGCATGTCTGCCATTAGCCGTATGACCAATGGCTCTCTAACAGCAAGTGGTTGCCCCTGGCAACAGGAAACACAAAGGGCGAGACGCGGGGACGTTTTGGGGGGCGAAGTGCCCCAGATCACGTGTTCATTACTAAAAAGAGAAAGTGTGACATGAAGTTGCGTGATGGTGGCGTAAAGGCTGACATATGAAGCACAACGGTCCAGATTGACATGTCGCTCTACATGCAGGAGGACAGATGTGTGATTGTGATTTTGGACTGATTTGTCTCTTTAAGCAGACTAAGTCAAAACAGCTGATTGCGGACACAGTAAGGAGAGCAGGGCATGAAAGGAGGAACATGTGGAGCCTGATAACAGGGACGACACCATGAGTCCACAAAGCTCCTTTCACGTTATCACAAGGAAAGACCGCTTATGACACAGCAGTTATTCTTTATGGTGTAACCATGGAGACCTCAGGTACACACACACACACACACAGATCACAAGACACACACACACACAAACAGACACACCAACACACACAACAAATACAAACACTCAAATCACACGCCCCAACAAAACAGGGGCCCGCAGATGATGGAGGGCTTTCGGGGTCCAGACCGCTGAGACGCATGAGGTCATGGCTGTAGCATGAGGTCATGGCTGTATTGACAAGCTTAGCATATTACGATGATCCAGAGAATGGGGCTTGGCAGCACCCACGTGACCCGCAAACACCACCTTTAGAGAGCGCGCGCGGGCCGGACGGAACATGGAGGAAGATGAAGCGGCAGTTTGTGATGTTTAGAGCAGCTGTCACGCGCACACACACACGCGCGCGCACCCCCCCCCCCCCGAAAAGACGTGTCACCCACCAGCTGTCCTCGTCCTCGTTGAGACAGTCCATGTCCTCGAGATCTAAGATGTCCACCTCGTCCAGGATCGACGTCTCCGCCTCGTCCGTGAAAACCCCGACGCCCTCCGAGAAAAGTGAGTTCCCGCCCGGCAGGGAGGCGCCGGCGGCCGTTCCCCCGCCGCCGCCGTCGTCGTCGTACCCGTACGCCCTCCTGAAGCTGACGCCGTCGTAGGAGAGCCGGGGGCTCCGGCAGCGGCTGTTCGCCAGCTGCCCGCCGTAGCCGACGAACCCCGCCCCGGGGAAGCCGGCCAGACCGGCTGCCATCCCCGCCGCGGCCAGGGACGACGGGTCGTAGCCGTCGCTGAGGGGTCTGTGGTGGGTCCCGGCGGAGGACAGCATCGTGGACCGGCTCCGGAGCTGCTCGTTCTGCTGCTCGAGCTTCTTCACCAAGTCCTGGAGCTTCCGCACCTCCAGGTCCGCGTTGATGTTCGAGTTGATGTCCTCCATAGCGGCTCCCCGGAGCCAGCCAGCGCCGCGGGAGGGGGGGGGGTGTAATAAAACGCGGTGGTTTGTGGGTCTTTTTTCTTCTTCTCGCCTCTTTGGAGAAGTCCTCTTTGTTTCGGGTAACTTCGAGATGATTCTACGTGTTTAAAGACGACGCTTCGGCGATCAACTGACTTGGAAATCTCCACACCGTCATCTTCTCCGGTTAGTCGAGGCCATTTTCGCAACAACCGTCAACAACCGAGAGCGAAAGACCAACAGGCGGCGGTTGACACGCGTCACTTGCGTCCGGCGTCGGGAGCGCGCACGTAACCAACACCTTACACCACGGGCGCGCGGACAACGCAAAGAGAGTCACCGCAGCTTCGCCTGAACGGAGCGATATAAACACGAGCTGAAATAAACGGTGCATCGCAAACACTGTATTATTACTACGCTACGATGAGGTCACATATGGTTAATAAACAACGCTCCATTATTTACCTATAAAACAAATAAGTAAGGCTCATTTGATTCTGGGATCTTTTTTTTTTTACTTGCTTTATTGATCTATTTGGATCCGTTTTATGCACTCTGGCACCTCATTTACATTTAAAGTACTTTAGGTGAAACAATTGAGGACAACTTTGATCTATAGGGATCTGTTCATATTTGAATTGATGAATTCCTTCATGGCGTTCCTCAAGTTTTGAATACTGATGGACAGTCAACAGCTTAAGCAAATATGAACCCAAACCGGTTTATTTTCAAACTTTATTTATGGTTGCTGTAAAAAAAAAAAAAAAAAGTATTGTGTTTATGTAGCTTGTTTTTGTAACAGCATTAAAGGGCTTCCTCCGACTCCAGCTGCTCCTCGGTCTTCCTGAACGCGTCGCCTCCTCTCTCCCCGCCCTCCTCCTTGGCCTCCATGGCCTCCTCTGATCGGCCCTCGCTGGTCATCGTCGCGTCCAGCCCATCCTGGTCGGCGCTCGCGTTCTGAGACTCTGCGCCCTCGTCGTCCTCGTCCTCTACGTCCATCTCGAACACTCGGATGTGCCTGAGGTTTGCACTTAGCTGCCAGGAAAGTTAGTTAGGAGACCGCTCACAGCCCGAAGGACCATTATGAAAAATTCAGATGAGGCTTTTGTATTCAGACTATTTATAATACACATACTTTGTAAGAACCTATTGACAGAAACCATTTTCTACGGTAATAAACCCAACTGTAAATAAGTGTAGTCATCGTGACGTTACAAAAGCAGTAGTTATTTTCTCATCAACTTCTATAGGACCAGAGGAGCCGCCCCCTGGTGGTCAGTAGTGAGAACGCAGCTTTAACAAATTATGCGTCAACTTTGAATATAAATTCGACTCACCACACAGGCCACTTTCCGGATCCCATTGACAGCCACAAACTGAGCCTTCATGTTTTCCAGCTCACGCCACTGATTCCCCAAAACCAGGCCCTGACACGGGATGGCGCCGCTCTGCTGCTCCAACCTGAACGACACGGGTGACACGATGCAGCGTTGACCGAAAGCAAAAAAGCGGAACGACGTTTCATCAAACGCTCCCTCACCTCCGCTCGGGCTCCCAGGTGAACTCGCTCTCGCAGCTCAGCGCTGAAGCCAGAGGAAGCTGAGCCAGCACGCGCCTTCTGTTCTCCTCCTGTGATCCCTGCAGGACCACAGTCAGCATTTCGTCGTCATAGAAACGGGCATCCAGGCAGCTGTAAAGGTAGTTGCGCCTGAAAGAGACCAAAAAAAGAAGAAATCACCTCCAGGAGCCGAGGAATTACTTCTCACTTCTCACGCGGTGGGAGCGACGTGAGGGCCACTGACTGGGCGGCATCTTCTTCTTCTTCTGCATTGTCCAGGTAATGGCTGAGATCCACGGACACGACACTGTTGGGGACGTGCCTGTGCAGGCAAAACAAACGGTGTTAAAACAGATTAAACACACAGAGAAACTCCCACAATCCCCGGGGGCACCTGTTGGGGTCGGTCCCTTTCCGCAGCAGGTAGAGCTTGGAGGGGGAGACGTCCGGCATGCAGAACACCACGTGGTGCATCTTGGCTTTCTTGTCATTCCACCTGTAGAAGTCACACCGAGACGTATTACTCATAAGGAAAGACAGCTCAGTGCAGGAGAACATCTGGATGTTTGCGTTTCTACGTACAAGCACGGGAGTTCAAAAAGTCGAGACGTGTTTTCAGAGCTGGAAAGATGAAAAAGACTTTTACAAGGAGTCACATTTAATGGATGCAGATGATGGACGGAGACACGCGATCGTACCTCTCCGGTATGGAGTAAAGGGGCAGGAAGACGGCCTGTTTGACAGACTTCCCAATGACTTCCTGCATGGAAACAATAAAACACAATAAATAATCAATGCGTAAAAGAAAAAATGGAACAAATCTCAAACACATTTGACCTTTATTTTGAAAGCATGTTCAGTGACGTGTCACTAAAGACAGCCGTGCGTCGCCACTCGGGACGGTTCTTATTCTTATCTTCGATGAGTGTTGAAGGAGGACAGCACAACTCACTGCAGGTTTCTGGAGACACTGCTCAATCACGGCCTCCATCATCCTCTTCACGAAGTGCAAAGACTTTTGGGGGAATGAAGGGAACAGCAAAGAGCTCTCTGGATAAACCAGAGCGAAACATTTTAGTCCATGAGTTAATCATTAAATGAATACTTTATCCTCAGAACGACCCTCTCTGTTTTAGTTACCAACCCAATGTCAACTTGTTAAAGATAACTTTGTTTTTATCTGAACCTGGAACTGCTCACATTTACTTAAATTCACCAATAATCATTTTTTAAAATCAAATTGTTGAGGCTGGAGTATTTCTGTGGGTGCGCCGCCTGGTTCACCCTTCAGGTGCGTGCTCTCCTGCAGGAACTTCAGCCACTGGTTTCCTTTGGTGTTGGGCGGAGACACCAGGTCCTCGTCCTCGTCCTTCAGGTACTGCAGAGGAGAAGGGACCCAAGTCACCGGCTCCGCTAAGCGACAACGGCACCAGAAGACACCTGGCCCCGCCTCTCACCTGTCCGACGCGCTCCACGTTGAAGTACTTCCCTTTGCGGTCGAAGAGCTCCTCGTTCTGTCGAAGCAGAGAAAGCCGTAACGCGTTTACGTAACAACGGAGGAACAGTCGGAGCTACGCTGATCTCACCTCGCTGAAGTGCTCCGACAGGAAGTCAGCCACGAAGGCGATGTCCTTCTGGGTCATCTGGAGGGGCGAGCGACACGTTAACACCCCCTAACCTGTGAGCCATTTAGCAATCAGAGCTGCTGACGCGTCACCTTGTTGAGCTCCGGTGGAACGTGCTCCTCACACATCCTGAGCATGGCTGTAAAACACAACGAAGGCCTTGAAGAGAAGAACACTCAGCAAGAGGAGAAGAGTCTCTATTCCAACGCACGTGTGCGACCCGGTCACTTGTATTCTTACCGACGTACAGCCAGCGGAAAAAGGCTTTGAAGTTTTTCATGCTCTTGTCGATCACTCTGAAAGATGAAATAAAAAGCCGTGTGTCTGTGTGGGAAAACCACAGCTGACCCACAATCTACACAAAATGATGGACAGGGGACGTGGAACCACCACTCGTTTGTTTTATAGCTGCTTGTTATATTCCATTTAAGACGGATACACACATGCTGACAACCGCTGTATTAAAATGAGCCATGAAGACGTTATTGTTCACTTATAAAGCAACGATGAACCTTTAGACTCTGATCGGAATTTAACACACACAAATCTACAGTTGCAAAGTATTACTCTTTGGAACGTAAATATGAATTGTCTACCACACACAGTACAGATTATATATATATATATATATGTATATAAAAAATTACAGTATATTAATATTAGGGCGGTCAATAGATAAAAAAAAAAAAATTAATCGCACATTTTGAATCTCGATTAATGGCGATTAATGAATGTTTTTCTAACTCTTAACTTAAGACTAAACCTTAAAGTAATGAGTAATCACTGTGTGTATTTAAGACACTATTGTTTAATTATGAATGTTATTTTAAACACAAAACTACACACATTTGATCATCTTGGAGACAGAATTCCACCTGGTGGAACATGTTGAACTAGCAACTCTTCCTGTTGTCCTCGTGCACTTTGCTCTCATCTCCATCATTTAACGGCTGTGTTTGAAGAGCCAACAATCTCCCACATTTAGTCAGAACGTCTTCAAACCACCGTCTTTTAGGGACGCAGTGGTGGTCCTCTGCAGACTGTGTGCCGCGCAGGGTGACGTTAGATGTTGAGATGTAGAACGTACGTTAACTGCATTGAAATATTTTGTTGCATTAATCCGGCCACATTAATCGCATAGATTCATGCGTTAATGTTGACAGTCCTAATTAATATGTGTACACTTTAATGTTTGTTGCTGTATATCACGATAATTTTGCACTAATACAACCCATCCACTAATAAAATGATTATCATATATATATATAAATAATATGTATATACACTACAATAGAAATACACACGGTAATGGTGGACGGATAGTAGGAGAAACGAAGTAAAGTCATATTTGTAGTTACTATAAGCTCTAAAACACAAACAATAGTGATGAATTATTTGACCAGATTATTCCAAAACAAACGAAGGCGTCATATTTGAACTCACTGCAGGAGCTCGTTGGCCTTCAGAGAGAAGGAGCCCACGGCGGTGATGGCGCCTGAGAACAAAGAACACGCATCACGCGGCGTTCGATGGTTAGAAAAGCTTCAGTTACTGATCAAGGGACGCCAAACCTTCTAAAGCCGCCGAGTCCAGGCCGAGGGGCTCGAACTTCTGCTTCCACAGCGACATGCCCTTCACCTCGCTCAGGTGGTAGAGCAGCGCCTCGGAGCCGCTGCCGGAGAGCCAAAGGGGGGAGGGGCTTTAACAGGGGATCTCAGGTAGCGGTCGAGGAGACGTGAAACGCATGAAGGACGTACCTCTGCAGGTGGCTGATCACCAGCTTCTGGATGCTGGAGTAAGACGACTCGATGGACTGGCCCAGCTTCTTCAGGCCCTGCGATGGAAACACAACACGCCGACCGTCACATCTGGACCGAGCCGGACTTCATATTTAGACACACACACACACACACACACACACACAGAGGAGCATTCACACTTCCTGCTGCCTCACCTTGACGGTCAGCTGGTTCATGAGCAGAGCCTGAAGTTCAGGGCTGCATGCAAGCAGAGAGGTGAGGAACACTAGGATCATCCCAACGATCCAAACAGCACATTAACCAGCACAACATTTCATTCTGCAGGACAATAGAGTCCCTCCTCACCTCGATTGTCCCCACAGCAGGAGCTCCAGGAACTCATCTTGTACCTGAGTGCTTGTGTTCTTTTCCTAAAAACAGGTGGAAATACGACATTTCCTCGTCGACTCGCAGAGAGGACAGAACACAAATCCAGACATATTTCAGTAATAAACCAGCCTTTCTACACACAGCGAATGCACCTGGATGAAAACCACCTGTTGACCTCCGGATGACGTTATGAACCCGGACAAGACGCCAGTTAGCTTGCCGGGATACATACAAAAAACGGATTATTTCTTCCATTGTCTGATTTGTGAACAGCTTCCATGGAGGAAGGGAGCCCCGGGCCTCGGTGGAGGACGTGTTTTCCTCCCGGATCACAACCACTGACCTGCACAAACTTAGTGAGCCGCAGATCCATCTGCATGAGGATGTCCTCCCAGGCCTCACACATGCACGTGAGCGAGAGGTGCAGGTACTGCAACAGCGTAGAGATGTGAGTGAACTTGCGCGCCATCCTGGTCACCTCGGGCAGACAGTCCGACAACAAGCCCGTGTCCAGCTGGAAATGAACGTACCCGCAGGTTGGAGCAGCGATGACGAGGCCACGGAGAGAGAGAAGGTTCAGGAAGGATGCAGGAAGCCTCACCTGGATGAAGCAGATCTGCGGGTTGCTGTCAGCTGAGCGGACCTCTGTGATGACTGACAGAGACTTGAGGTCGCTGGACAGACTCAGGCTGCGACAGGTACCCGATACCTGGAAGAAAGACAAGCCGTCATCAAATCATTAGACTAATAATCCTCTCACCCTTTTCCGGGACTTTTCTGGGAAACTTTGGCAATGAAAGAACACAATTCCCCAGGACATTTGGATTTTTCTTTCATTTTTCACGTGTTTTCGTGACTAGACAATAAAGTCAACAGTTTAAAAAAAGTTTCCCATGTTTTTCAGGACATGTGTGACCCGTGTAAATGCTGTGTAGTCAACATGATCGGTTACACTTCAGTTGAGAAGCAGCGATGCCTCAGTTCTGCATCCATGCATCCTTAATAAAACTACCCGTACCCCCGACAGAGTGGCGATCTTGTACATCCCGTAGGCATAAAGCTCCACAAAGCCAGAGTCTCCTCCGAGGACCAGGACGTTCAGTCTGCGTGGAGAAATATTTACCCGTTAAAATTTTAAAAGAATTAGAGCGAATTCTTGCTGAGACGGCGGGCCTTGACTTTACCTGACTTCTCCCATGAGATTCATGATCTCGTCAGACTTTTCCTCGCTGGAACACAAAGATAAAACATGTGGCTGCTGTCACAAGAAAAACATCACACTAATATGCATTAAAAACAAGCCCCACCTGAAGATCTTTGAAGTCGTGCTATAGCTGTGGGAAAGACAAAAGCACAGATGTTACTCCGTTGAGTATCACCTTCTAATAATGTGCACTTTGGACGGTGTTACCTCTTGGGGAGTGTTGGCAACTTAGGAAGAAAGAGTTTGGATTCATCCTCAGAGTTATAGAAGGAGCTGAGAGCACTGAAACACCAAAAACGACCAGACATTCATGTTATTGAAGAGAACCACTAGTCCTTAGTGCCGCCGGTTTGATTCCAGAGCCTCGCGCACACCTGCTCTCCTCCGTCACCTCCATCCAGTGCATGCACGTCACCGAGCTCTGCATGGGGAACACATGGAGGATCTCGGCTTTCTCCACACCGCACAGGACCACCTGCTTCGTGTCCCCGAGGCTGAAGGCCAAGACTGGAAATTAAAGAGAGACGGAAAGTTTAATGTCTCCATGTTTGCATCAACGAGCAGGATCAATAGCAGCACTCAGTGATTCTGATTCATTTGTCCTCTACAAACAGTAGAAAACGTGTAGTTAGCGCACACTGGTTGCTTGTTGGTCTCATGTTGTGATAACATGCAGCTGGTTCCTCTTCGGAGGGTTTGAGCAGATTAAAAGTATTGATCGATGCTCAGAACAAAGTTTCCGAGGGCTTCCCAAACAAGCACACACACACACACACTCTTAAAAAGTCCACACTCACTCCTTACTTTTCCCATCAGGTCTCCAGGCCAGTGCAGTGATCTCCTTCCCAGTGTACTCACTGGGTGGTAAGCTCCAAACACGCTGGAAGCTGGCCAAGCGATGGAGCAGCAACTACGGACAAACAATAACCATAAACTACGAAACCATGAAAAGATACCAACACAAGGAACAGGTTTTTAGGCCCACCTCTCCGGTTGTGTTGGCCAGAGCGATGAGATCCCTCTTGGGAGACCAGGCCATACACAGCACCGGGTGGGGGAGCTGCTTCTCTCCCACCTGCCGGAAGGCCGGCATGCTGACTGCTGGAGAAATGAAACGGAGGAAACCGGCTTTAATGTGACAGGTAAAGCTCATGATGTGAAGATGAGATCTCGTCATCAGTGCTCGAGGACAGAGCTGACGCTTTGTTGTGGTGTGTGTGGTTGTGTTGGTGTCTTTACATCGTAGTTATAATAATACCGTTATTTATATAGCACCTTTCAAACAGGTACAGCTACAAAGGGATTCACAAGTGAGAACGATTAAACAGTAAAAATAAAATGAAAACTAAATAAGAACAAGAGAGAAGTCTTGAAGGATGATGTCAAAAAGCCAGTGAGTTTCTAGTTCTTCATGTAATCTATATTAAAAACAGCCAAAGCTCCGTCACACTTGGTCTTCAGTCATGAACAGACTATTTAATCCCGAACGCGTCATAATAAGAAGTGAATATGGATTATAACGGTTTAAACATCAGTGTCCTCACCGGTTAGTGTTGACAGATCCTCTGTACCAACGTTAGCTATGAAGCTAGCTGTAATGCTAGCAGGCTTGTTAGCTAACGCTAGCTAACAAAGCTACCGTGGGGAAGCTGCTGAGTCTTATTTCAACGCGTAGGACGGACAAACGAACGAATTATAAAGACAACATATTGTTTTGTATCTGTTAATCCCACTCATCTCCTCCACTTTCAACACTCGTTTTAAATCTCAGGATGTTTTTTCAACTACGCGGACAGCGCCATTTTTCTTTGCAGTGACCAATCAGTGAAGAGCAACGGGATGCCAGAGAGGACAAACCTGCTCGGAGGGTAAAACGCGATCGGTAAATGGCCTGCAGCGCTTACACAGAGGCAGTAGATGGTAGAATTGGTTATAACCATTATGTTAAACAGTGATACCATTGTTGCTGCAATAGTTTATTGTTCTTCATTGTTTGGAAGCATTAGTTAATATTAGCGAGCTCTGCTGGCTACATGGTGACATTGCTTTTGTGCAGTCAACATGTCAAGTTTCCAAAATGCATCTATGAAAATAATTTCTGGTCATTGATATGTAGATGAATGCTATCTGGAGACATAATCAGTGCTGAGAGGAATTATCCACTGTTATTCTGACACAAAGTCTGTACGTTACTAAAGTCACCACTAAATAATGCAGTTATTTTTAAATGATACTTGATATGGTATCAGTTATTAATAATAGGCATATGGTGACGAACAGGCCAAGTATTTAGCGGATCGCTCATTGTGTGTGTGTGTGTGTGTGTGAGTGTGTGCGTCGTAGATAAATTCCATCCAAACTTATCACCGGTACTTAACTGCAATCAGTAGATTGATGAAGAGCCAGAATAGCTTTCTGACAGCACAAAGTGTGAAAGTGGAGTAGAAATAGACCGGGTGAGGCTGTCTCCTGTCCTCCTGACTCCTTTAACATTCTAACAGTTTAAAATGCAGCAGATTGGTTCCTTACTTCAATCTCCATCCAATGTCTTATTTTAATGGCTCACCATAATTCACTAAATGAACATCATGCTGTATTGAAGAAGACTTGAAACTAGAGACCATAAACTGTTTACAATGTTTACTGAGGGAATAAATAAAGAGAGAAGTAAAGTCATTTTCTCATAGACGTCTATGGGACCAGAGGAGTCGCCCCCTGCTGGTCACTACAGAGAAGTAGAGTCATTTCCTCATAGACGTCTATGGGAGCAGAGGAGTCGCCCCCTGCTGGTCACTACAGAGAAGTAGAGTCATTTCCTCATAGACGTCTATGGGAGCAGAGGAGTCGCCCCCTGCTGGTCACTACAGAGAAGTAGAGTCATTTCCTCATAGACGTCTATGGGAGCAGAGGAGTCGCCCCCTGCTGGTCACTACAGAGAAGTAGAGTCATTTCCTCATAGACGTCTATGGGAGCAGAGGAGTCGCCCCCTGCTGGTCACTACAGAGAAGTAGAGTCATTTCCTCATAGACGTCTATGGGAGCAGAGGAGTCGCCCCCTGCTGGTCACTACAGAGAAGTAGAGTCATTTCCTCATAGACGTCTATGGGAGCAGAGCAGTCGCCCCCTGCTGGTCACTACAGAGAAGTAGAGTCATTTCCTCATAGACGTCTATGGGAGCAGAGGAGTCGCCCCCTGCTGGTCACTACAGAGACCTTATTCACGCTGCCATTGAATAGAAATAGAGCGTCCTCGATGACATCTGTCATACGTCATTGTCTCCGGAGCAGTTTATGCTCGATAACATCAGTTTTTATTTTATTTTAGAGCGACTCATGTTTATTAATACTTTTAGACTGTCTTATTTAGTATTATAGGTCATTATAAGTCATTCTGTGACTGACTTATTCAGCAGGATGCTTTGTATCTCATCATGTCCAAAACATGGGGGTTTAACTGGGGGGACAAATGCACACTGAGAGCATCCGAATGTTGCCTAATTGCACAAATGTGCCTTTATTGCGTTGGATTAACTTAATTAACTCTGCACAAGTGCTCCCCCCACACCGGCTAACCTTAACACTCTCCCCTCTCGACAATATTCTGGCTGTGAAACCCGAGCCGCGGGCCAAATATAGCCCGTCACAGGGAGCAGTTAGGGACCGGGACAGATGGGAGGAGGACAGGCCACAGCAGAGGCAACCGGACCCCCAGAGTGCAGAGATCCCAAAGCGACACACAGCAAGACCGCTCTTCCAAAGAGAGAGAGAGAGACGCTTCTTTTCTAATTCAATAAACGAGACGAACCTGGAAGCACGAGGCCGGAGGAAGAGAGGACCACCATTAAGGTACGATGGCTTCTGCTGAAGAGTATGAATTATTTAACGTAACAACGGAGCCGTCGGGCACATATACACTTTCCTCTCTCATGTTGATTCTTTCTCAATGTATTTGCACTGAATATAACAAATACTATGAAAGACATAAGATCTGATCAACATTTAAGTCGACCTAATAGGCTTGTGAAATCTTAATAAGACTTCAGTGTTCATGAATCTTTAATGTGATTATTGTTGTTGCTCTCGGTGGTGTTTTAATGCTTTTACTGTGTTACCATGAGAGGTTCAAAGACCTCTCCTCTAAGCTCCGGATGGACGGGGTTAGCCGCCGCTGCTGCTGCTGCTGCTGTTGAAACGCAGGATCAAAAATAAGAACAGCTGGTCCCCTGGACGAGTGTCTCTCTGCGTCATACATGTGTCTCCACAGCACACATACAACACATACATGGGCTCCAACAACTTATTTAACATCCGAAAGTGAGACCAGAATATTATATCCAACTCATCCGACATTCATTTTTCATTTTGGTTTTGGACCCTCGACATCACTTCACACGAAAAGGTGCAATTCTAGTTTGAATAATTGTTTATCTAATTTATAGAAAACAATATGAACTGACAAAACACACATGTGATATCTGCAGAAAACAACGCTGTCAATTCACCTTTGTTAAATTCTTCTCTTTTATGGAAAATGAATTTCACTTAAAGAGTTTGGAGGTAGAAAACCATGTATTTATCTGTAGTTCACATCTCAGAGCATGAACATTAAACATTCCTTGTCTTCGCTGTCTGAGATGTGTATTGTTTAAAAGCAGATTGCGGTTTTGTGCAGCACTATTCTTACACTCTAACACATTCTCCTAATCTAGCGTCTTAATAAGTAACATTACTCAATTACTCAAATCAAACCCACCTTTGATTCCATTAGAAATCAATACAATGTTATTGTGGCGTCAAACACATGTGAAAAGATGTGATCTGCTGGCGAGCCGCGCGGCGTCTGCTGGTTAAGTGACGGCCGATGTGTGTTCCAGGATGCAGGACGGGAGGAATCAGCCGCTCCCCATCTCTCGGCTGCCGAAGGACCCGGCGGCAGGCGGGGCTTTGGATGGCAACGGGGGGACGTTTTCCGAGGCGTCCTCCGACGGGGAACTCTGCCTCGACTCGGGGACAGAGCTGGATTTCGGAGACGGGGACTTTGCGGATCTCACCGCCTTCCTGAGTGCAGAAGAGATCCACCGCAGCCTGGACCTGGCCCTGGAGGCCTTTGGCGCCACGTTGGAGTCCGAAGATCCGGGCCCCGCCTCTAATCCCACATCCCAGGAGCGGGTCCTCCAACCCGTCCACTCCCCACCTCCTGAAAACCTCCACACACAGACCAAAGCCCCCTCCTCCGCGCCCCCGGAGGTTCCCCCGAACAAACGCCTAGATGCGACCACGGAGGCTGTGGCCTCTGTCGGGAAAGTTGCCCGTCCCAAACCCAAACAGCCGGTCTACAAGCAGGACAAACCGCGACTGGTTCACGAGGGCCTGGAGCTGAACGACCGGGCTGCTTCCGCCACGGAGTTCTGCAGCCGAGCCGCCACCTTCATCGAGGAGCTGTCGTCCATCTTCAAAGGTTCTGCTCGGTCGGAGCAGCAGGCAGAGGAGGGCGACTCCTCCTCGCCCGACAGCGGCTATCTGACCCCGAGGGGTCAGCGGCCGGCCCCCCAGGGCTCGGCCTCCGCTCCCGGCGCCATGGCGCCACGCGGCCCGGAGCATCAGCCCGGCGGGTCGGCGGGCCCGCGGGCCGACGAGCCGCCTCAGCGCCCCGGAGCTCCGGCCTCCCTCGGGCCGCTGTCTCCTCCCTGCTTCCTCCACAAGCTGAAGAGCCAGGAGGTGGCGGAGGGCAGCGCCGTTCGCCTGCAGTGCAGAGTCACGGGAAACCCCCCGCCGCTCGTCAGGTAAGGTGTGACCCCCCCTCCCCTCGACCTCGTCACGCCGTCTGCGAGCTTTCGGCACCACGCGGCCCTGCCGCCGCCGCTGGGGGGGGAGTGTCCGCTGTGATGGAACATGTTGGTGTTGAAGGTTTGACCTGTCGACGCCGCGGTTTGATTCGACGCATAGTCGGTTTTCATGTGTAACAAACTGCATTCGAATCACATGATGTATTTAAAATAGTGCAGAAGAGCAGACACGTCACCATGTAGCGGCTTACAGTCTCAAACCGATTCCCCTGGTGTGTTGATTGGGTTCCTGCGGTCTAAAGTGGTAGAGTCTCTTCACACCAGGGTCCCTTCAGAAAACCTCCCATTTTGCTGCAGCGGCGTCTGACAGTCTGCCCTCTCGGTCCGGGTTCTGGTTCTCCCGGGCCTCCCAGCCCCTGCGGTGGGTCAAGCACTGCGGCGTGGCTCTCCAGCGAGCAGCCGCGGTGTTCGCGCCGCAGATCGCCTGGTTTCGGCACCTGTGCCGGTTCACAAGCAGGGACACTGGATGATCTGTTTCTCCGCGCGGAGAGCACAGCGCCGCCGGGCCCCCCGGGTCATTTGCTCCGGTTCATCGGCAAACTAAAAATACCCTCCTCTCTTGTTTCCAGATCACAGAGCTCCGTCCACACGCGTCCTGTTTACTTCACAGTCGTACCTGTGCTAATCACAGCTGCACCCTACGGACCGTTTCATAGCCAGAGTCTCCAAACATACACATTTAAAATGAAAGTTGGCCACCAGAGGAGTCAGCGGTGTTTCACTTTGACTGGCGACCCATGTGGTTGATGTAGATAGTAAACACGGATGCGTCTTCATTCAGGAGGTTTGCATCAGGCCGTAATCCCTCCCTTCAAGCCACCACATGGAAACAGCACCTGGTGTTTCAGGGCACCAGGGTCCCTTCAGAAGACCTCTGATCCCTGAGTACTGCAGGTTCCCGGGTCTCCAGCAGCGTGGAGCCGGTGAGACCCCCAGAGAGTCACCATTCAACTGGTCACTGGGTGGACCCGTTAATTCTGGAAGGCCTTTTAGATCTTAAGAGTAAAAATAACGCTTTGTTGTCTTGTCTCAGTCGAGCATCTCCAGACATTTTAGTTGCCTAAAAGTCATTACATCTTATTTTGATCTCGTCTGAACTCAGAGGGTGAGTGACCCTCTCACCGAGGCGCCTGCGTGACGCGCTCGTTAAAATAGCTTCACACTCCACCTCCTCGAGGCCTCGGCCATCGGACGGCACAGAGCCGCTTCAGTCACAACAACAAACCCGCCAGAGGGCCCGATGCAGCAGAAGCGGGTCGCTTGTAGGAGGTTCTGAGCAGGCGGCGTGTTTTTTGGGTGTTCGTGTCGGCAGCAGCCGGCGGCGGCGGTGGCCCGGGACGTGTGTCCCCCCCCCTCCCCCGGCAGACTACCAGGGGCCTCCTGTATAAATAGTCTTCAGGCCAACAGGAGCCAGGCACAGGAATGCAGGCCATGCGATGACTCTGCGTTTCTCCCTTCGGCAGGCTCCACCCCCACCTCCCCCACCTCCTCCACCTCCCCCACCTACCCCACCTCCTCCACCTCCCACGCCGTACAGACGTTTTATGATGAATCGTTTAGAAATGATCCTCCTGCAGCTCTTGGTTCTGAATCGCTCTCATTGTTCATTCTCATTCTCGTGTATGTGCTGCTGAAGAGACAAAGTCTCGCCTGCGTTGGCATTTGATTGTGGACACTAGATGGCAGCAAAATATTCAAAACAAAAGATCATCTTGAAGTTGTAGATCTGCAAAAGTTACCCACATGGATCCATCTTAAGAAGACAGGTTTATCATCTGCACCTGAGATCGAATTAGCTGAGTGAGAAAAGACTCTGCTCACCATCTCACTCACCATCTATCCTCACCATCTCTCCTCACCATCTCACCTCACCATCTCACTCACCATCTCTCCTCACCATCTCACCTCACCATCTCACTCACCATCTCTCCTCACCACCTCTCACCTCACCTCTCACCTCACCATCTCACTCACCATCCCTCACCATCTCACCTCATCTCACCTCACCATCTCACTCACCATCTCACCTCACCATCTCTCCTCACCATCTCACTCACCATCTCACTCACCATCTCTCCTCACCATCTCCCCTCACCATCTCACTCACCATCTCTCCTCCCACCATCTCACCTCACCTATCTCACTCACTATCTCACTCACCATCTCACCTCACCATCTCTCCTCATCTCACTCAGCACCTCACTCACCATCTCACCTCACCTTCTCACTCACCATCTCACTCACCATCTCTCCTCACCATCTCACCTCACCATCTCACTCACTATCTCACTCACCATCTCACTCACCATCTCACCTCACCATCTCTCCTCACCATCTCACTCACTATCTCACTCACCATCTCTCTCACCATCTCACCTCACCATCTCCTCATCTCACCTCACCATCTCACCTCACCATCTCTCCTTACCATCTCACCTCACCATCTCCTCATCTCACCTCACCATCTCACCTCACCATCTCTCCTCATCTCACTCACCATCTCATCTCACCATCTCACCTCACCATCTCATCTCACCATCTCACCTCACCATCTCACCTCACCATCTCTCCTCATCTCACTCACCACCTCACCTCACCATTATACCATCTCACTCACCATCTCACCTCACCTTCTCACTCACCATCTCACCTCACCATCTCTCCTCATCTCACTCACCACCTCACTCACCATCTCACCTCACCTTCTCACTCACCATCTCACCTCACCATCTCTCCTGACCTTCTCACTCAGAATCTCACTCACCATCTCACCTCACCATCTCACCTCACCTTCTCACTCACCATCTCACCTCACCATCTCTCCTGACCTTCTCACTCAGAATCTCACTCACCATCTCACCTCACCATCTCTCCTCACCATCTCACTCACCATCTCACCTCACCTTCTCACTCACCATCTCACTCACCATCTCACCTCACCATCTCACTCACCATCTCACTCACCATCTCTCCTCACCATCTCACTCACCATCTCACCTCACCTTCTCACTCACCATCTCACTCACCATCTCACCTCACCATCTCACTCACCATCTCACTCACCATCTCACCTCACCTTCTCACTCACCATCTCACTCACCATCTCACCTCACCATCTCACTCACCATCTCACTCACCATCTCACCTCACCATCTCACTCACCATCTCACTCACCATCTCTCCTCACCATCTCACTCACCATCTCACCTCACCTTCTCACTCACCATCTCACTCACCTTCTCACTCACCATCTCGTCTCACCCCCTCGTTAAAGGGGGGCTAACGAGTGTGGTGCAGAGCTCGGAGGTCGTCGGGCCGTCGTCTTTCGCGGTCGACTGGAGTTTGTCTCGACCGGCGAGAGTCTGCGGGTTCTGAGCAGCTGGTGTTCTTCAGCATCTCCTCACGCACGTTTGAGGCTTCGCTCTGTTTGGATGCGTGTGAGTTTCATCCTTCTGGGAAGCGCTTGGTGCATTTTCCCAGTCTGAGCTCGTTTTTCTTTACATCTTCAAGGGGCTCGTTTGGGGTTGAGATCAGCTGCTGGCATGAGAGACCGGGGAATGTTTGCAGACGGCGCAGGACCCGTGTGAGTGTGTGTGTGTGTGTGTGTGTGTGTGTGTGTGTGTGAGTGTGTGTGTGTGTGTTTCTAAACAAAATTGGTGGTGTGAGGTCCGGTTGTGCAGAACACCAAACACGCTGATGACTGTTCGCACGTCGCACAGCACGCAGAGAAGAAAATCCATCTCCAATTGTGGCGTGCTCAGAGCGCTATTTTAGGCATTTTGTCTGATGTGCTTCCATGTCATTACCCTGAATGCCTGCTATGCAAACAAGGCATTTCATGTGCAGTTATACGTTAGAGAGCAGCCTCGGCTCACTGGCTCACAAACGAAAACACCAAAAAAACACAGGGGAAAACCTTTGGGGGACGGGAGGTTGCCGAGGAACTTCGCCCATGAAATCTACCCGAGGCGGCGAGATCGGTGGGAGGCGACGTTCCAGAGGTTGACGGTGTAATTTGTTGCCAAAATAGCATTGTGATCGCTGTTCACGCCCTAAGCAGCATAGCATAAAACTGAGTTCACGTCAGGAGGAGCGATAGAAAGCATCCTGACTGGAAACATTAAAGCTCCAAGTGATGTTCAGAGGTTGATGGCGTTTAAAACGGTCCCGACCATCGCTGGTACCTTTTACCTCACATCCGGGACATCGGCAGAGGTGCCAAAACCCACAAAACCCACAAAACCCACCTACTCTCATAGGCTTCCATACATCCAGAGGAGTCGCCCCCTGGTGGACACAATGCAGCTTGAAGACACTTGCTCACTGATTTCGCTCCCTGAAGTACCTTCTGTCAACTTTGAGGATTTACCTCTTCATACCACTTACTGCTTTACACAGATACTTTCTCATCTTGGCAGACAGACGCACATTGAGAGCTGCAAAGAACCAGTTAAATAATCCATGCTGATCTTTTTTTCTAGTCCAAATACCAGAACTATCGTGTCACTGTATCCTTTTTAAGTGGTTTTAAACTGGCAATAGTGCATTAAAATTAAACCCACGTGAAGTGTAAAAAAAACAGTACAAAGAAATGAAAAACGAGAAGGATTATTTCCATCTTTTTTTTTTTACACAAGTTGACCTCTGACCCCTTCACACGTAAACAAGGCCCAGATGTAAGCGTTGGATACGCAGCCGGCCTGTTTGCCAGTTACTCCCCGGCTTTTAGTTCCAGTAGCCCTTCCTCCTGCGTTGTGTGAGGCAGACGCAGAGTGAGGTCATAGCAGGTGACCCGGTTCTGACTCATGACGCAGCCCGACCGTAACGCCGACTGTTTGGCCCGTTTCAGGAAGCCCATCATCTTAAATTCTCCCTCGTGGGTTCAGTTCATCTCCGCAGCGTGACGGCTAAAAATAAAGCGCTGGAATGTTCATACC